AGAGAGAGAGAGAGAGAGAGAGAGAGAGTTATACAAAGATTTTAATTTCAAATCATCTTTCATTTGAGAAATTGATTTTTCTAAAACAGAAAATTTTCATTTTGCTTAGTAAAATTATACTTTTTTTTTTATCAATATGGGAAGTTTTTTCTATATTATATGACAAAAGTATCTTGAAAAAAAATATCCTAAGCTATTTTCAGGCACATGACGATAGTATTCGAATAGTACTTTATAAAAAGTTGTTTCAATTTTTCTTTTGTAAAATAAATGTGTAATAAGATATTATACATTTAGTCTAAGTATTTTTAGTTTTATTTATTTATTTTTTGGGAGTTTTTGACCCATTTTTTTTTAAAAAAGTCTACTTGACCGGTTAGTTCGGTTCCTGTTCAAACTGCTCCTAGCGCCATGTTCGGTTAACCGTTCCGGTTTGATTTTGCGAACACTGCTCGCAACCATGAAGATTCGATGCTAGATTTTACCGTAGAGACGAATCGAGTTCCACGACCAACTCGAAGTGTCGATGCCAAATGTAATGATCATATTGTGATTTGAGAACCATGATATGAGGAGCATCTACATGATCTTAGAATTAAGGTCGATCTCCCTGAGATTCATGCGGAACTGGAAAAAGAAATCAAGATTAAACTCGAGATCCCAATTTGCTACTTCAAGTTGTGCACAGAGTATTTGATGAATTGTTTTATTGTAGATAAAATATCTAGAGAAATAGTGGGACTACATTGCCAATTATTAGATTGGCCTCTACAAGATGTAAGCTCGAGGTCGTGCTTCTCCCAACTCCGAAAGAGTGATGCAATGAGTTTTTTATTTTTATTTTGCTAATTTTAGATTTTTTTGTTTAGGTTTAGGGTTATTTTTGTCTTTTATGGTTGTAGTGATTTCAAAGGCAGAATTGCAAAATTTATTTGATTGTAAGATAGGGAAGATAGATATTGGTGGTTACAAGAGAGATATGGGGGAGTTAAAAGGAATCTTTATTATTTAAAGAGATATTTTTAGGGGAGTCACATGAGATTGAGAGAGAGGGGGGATTTACATGAGAGGGACAGAGAGTTAGGAAGAGAAAAACGTGGAAGTCAGAGAGATGGATTTTAGTTTCTTATTTTTATTTTATTTTGTCATTATTATTATTTTTAGTGTATTTATCTGCTAGGATGATGTGAATTGACTAAAGAATTTGGATCTTGTGAAAAGATCTCTGGGGTGGACTCCCTTGCAGACCTTAAGAGATGGTATAATCTCTCTGGCCTCTTATTTTTTTTATTTTTTTCTGTTTATTATTTTTCTCCCCTGCATCATTTTTCTTTCCTTTCCTGGTTTCCTTCTACTCCTTTTCTTCCCTTCTTTCCCTTCTTCATTTTTCCCTTTCTTCTCCCTTTTACTTGTTTCCTTTCTTTCCCCTTTTATTTATAAACTTTCCTTGAATCCCCTTAATGTTCGTTATCGTTCTTATTTTCTCTTCCTCTCTTAACATTAGCCCTTAGGTTCTTCATAGAATCAACCCTAAATAAATCCACTAAAATCTTAACCCTATTTTCACATTAATATCAAAAGCCTAACTTTTCCATACCCATTAACTTCCAAAACGTTAGAATTAGCCATGAAAACCTTCCAAAATCAATCTTAAATATTTTGTACACACTTCTTCTCTCTAGGATGTGGATTAGTTTTAAATTGGATCAGGATCAGCTTTTTATTTAGCTGATTTAGCTTAAGGATAACTTTCAATCCTTTACGGAGTACAAAATCTCGTCAACCAGAAATTAAAATAAATATAAATTTCTAAAACTGCGTGTTGATTTTGCAAGTTTATCTAGTCAATTTTGTCATTGAAAACATAATTTGTAGCTAATTAACCTTAAACTAATTTAAAGTGTTCTCCAGACGTGTTTTAGAGTATTGTTATCAAAGATTAGTGAGGCGCTGATCTTAGACTACATCACAAAGCGAGGAATTCCTTAAATTTTGCCGAATAAGGTCTGTGATACCATGACAAAGCAAAACGGATTTCTGAGAAATATTCTCTTTAATCTATGTGGTGGGAATGAATACCTTATATACTCTACTCTGAAAAACATACCACAAATACTTATTATGATAGTATTGGCCTAATTACATTCAATAGTAAGACTTCACTAATCATGAATTTATGTAGAAAAACATGATGTCAACAGTAGCTATGTAGAGTAGGAAAGAGAGTAGGGAAACTTTCCATAGCTCTCTATTATGTTAGTGTCCGGGATTGGGTAGAATCGTAACCATAGAATCCAACCCTAATTGAAAATTTCATCATGTGAGTCTCTTGCAGAATCAATTTTGGGACCCTGAGTTTCGTTTTATTTAGTTGATCCTGAGAGAGGGCCTTTATTTTTTTTTTCAATCATCAAAAGCTTTCCATGTCTATGAATGATCATGTAATTTCTACTATTGTATTCCATAATACGAATCTCTAAATGCATTCTTTTCTTGGGTATTTATGTCTGTTCATTTTTGTGAAGCTGAGTTCTAATATGTTACTATTCTTGTAAGACTGGATATATGAGTTCATGAAATGGCATAGGATGTCTATCATATCTTAGGGTGAGGATTTTTCTGTATGGCATTGGCTATTGTGCTGTGTAGTTTTCTATTCCATGTGACAAGCCATTTATTTATTTGTCCATTTTGTATCTCTGGCTTTTTGAGATCCCAGTGTACCCAAAGATTGGTGTAATGAATTTACATCAGACAAGCACCTGCACTGTACATAGGAAGATGTCTGAATGCCCTTCTGTGCCATTTGATGCCCTTCTGTGCCATTTGATTACGGTCACCTGCTAAGCTATTTGCAATTTTGGGGCACCTATATTTGTACTACTCATTCTTCTCACATCAAGTTAAAATAGAAATATGTCACAGGTCTTAGGGCCAGTTTGGGAAATCACTCCCTGGATATTCTTCCTTCTACTATTATGGAATAAGGGAAAAATAGGTTCTTTTTTTCCTCTAGCTATTATCAAATAGCCACTGTTCGGCAGCTTTTCTAGTAAAGCTCCAAAAGCGACAGACACAAACGGGTTGTGGCAGTTGTCCCCCCAAAAATGAAGGAAGAGAATAGTAGCAATTGCATTTAGTGGTCCATCTAAACTGGCCCTTGGTTTATGGAATGGTTTAATGCATGGGATTTTATGCAGCATATGCTTTTGATAACATATTTACTGGAGGTATTTATGCCGCAATGATGTTTTCTGTCCTATCTTCATCTCCATTCTTCATTTTGCAAAAGATACATGAAAATCTGATTGTTTATTGTTAACAGTTGTAGACTAGTAATGGCATGATTTCCTTTTAGCTACTTAAAAAAAAACAGTTGTAGGCCGCTAATGATGTAGACTGCAGTTTTCAATTTTGGATTGTTGCTTGAATATCATTCAAGATTTTCATAAAATGCCATTTGCTTCGTGATATACTTTGTCAGTGACTGTTATCCTTATATTGATGAATGCCTGTCACAGGTCACTGCAGAAGATGAATCTGGCTTACGCATATGGGATTTTCGGATGCCTAAGGTTCCAGTTAGAGAGATTTCAGGGCATGCACATTGGTACCATCTTCCTCTTCAAGAATTTTTAGATGATTAGGCATATTCTGCATATGTGCTTGCTTGTGTCATTCACCCATGTACTTGTTCTTTCGGATGACTTCTCTTTTGTGCATGTGCATGGGGAATGGTTTCGTGCCCCTGAATTCATTCTTGTGTATAGTCTGGCATTTACATTCTTGTTTCACCTTATTTGCAGGACTTGGTCTGTGCAGCATAATCCCAAATATGATGAGTTGATTTTGGTCTCTCTCTCTCTCACGCACCCACACACCCCACCCCTCACCTCCCAATACACACACATGCATGCATGCAGACACCTCCTCTCTCTCTCTCTATTTCGCGTGCACACACAAGCACACACCTACTCTCTCTCTCTCTATTTCGCGTGCACACACAAGCACACACCTCTATCTATCTCACACACATGCACACACACACACATAGGGCCACCTAATGGATTCTTTGTGTACCATTGATGCGCCTTCAAACTTTGCAAATACTTGATAGAAGTTTGTTATTTGTCTGCAGAGTGCTGGAACTGACTCTGCAGTAAACTTGTGGTTGGCTTCTTCCAATAATGGGGAGGGTCCCACTTCAGAAAGGTTCTTTTCTTTTCTACAAGGACTTAAGAGATCTTATTGTTACTATTCTTTCCCCTCTTTTATTCATCAACTTGTTGCAGTTCTACATTATTGTCTCCCGTCTTTTTTCAGTTTATTGGAGCCCCCAACTCGACACATAGATCCCTTGATACATTCTTACAATGACTACGAAGACAGTGTTTATGGTAATAGTAGGATTGTCAAAAATTGTTTACATTGATATACTGGCAAGAGAAATATATTATAATTCATATGGTTATAGGTTCATAGCTGCTGACCATGTGGATTATCACTCTCAAATCAAATGGTTTGTATGGTAATGGAGGGACTGTGGGATGTACCATCTTGGATTAATGACATATCTGGTGGGACCCATTCGCTCCATCACCATCCAATGCATTGATTGGATGGTGGTGTTCTCTAGGTCATTTTGTTATCATGACCTTGTGGATCCATTTATACCCATATTTGCGTCAAACTCATTGATGAACCTCTGGGTGAACAGGCCTCGCATGGAGCTCTAAAGACCCGTCAGTTTTTGCCTCTATATCTTATGATGGGAGGGTAAGCAGATGGTTATTCACTCATATTTCTCATGCTTTCTCCTATGTTTTTCGTTTGTTTTCTTTGCAGCTTTTGGTTGCCCGGAGTTTTGACGACTCCAAATGGATTTCACTATTTACAGAAACAGTTTTATGCATCTCTCTTTTGTTATTTCTAAACTCAAAGGCCATTTTATAAAGGGAAAAGTTTATATAGAGCCGAGGCTCTAAACAATCAAATTAGAGCCTACCTCAAAAATTTCACTAGAAGAGGTTGTTTTGATGTCCAAATATCCTTAAATTGATCATCTCGACATCAAAATACATGGGCATGAGAAAAAAATGGATTTCAAGTTTTGGAAATAGTGTATTTTGTAACGCATTTTTGGACCGTCAATTTCAATATTTTCGAGTTTTCGTAGATATGTCGATCTACACTATTTTTAAAGCTTTAAACTTTATAAATAAAGATGAAAATATATTTTAAGGCTATCACAAAGATTTCCAGTATTGAAACCACATTTTTTGACACTATTTGATGGTAGGCTCTAATTTGATTGTTTAGAGCCTAGGCTCTATACAAATCGCACCCTTTTATAAATGGTTTTCTGTTGCCCATTCCATTGCCTAGATTCATGCTTCCATTATCCAGTAACCTATAAAATGTTGTCAATTATCAAGTAAAGAAGAAAACCTACATATGATGTTTGTCGTAATAATGAAATGTGGCCATCGGTTAATAAATGTAAATAATTGACTTCTTTTTATATCTGGAAATTAGGTGGTGGTGGAATCTGTGAAACCTCACATTCCAAAAAGATGAAACCCTATGTTCTATGGCTTTGAGTTCAGGTGATTTGGGATTTGAAGTTTTGCTAACTGGAGTTATTTATCCACTATGGTGTTCTTCTGTTATTGGCTTCTTGGTTATTTGATGCAGAACTTTGATACATACTCATAGAATTTCATGTTTCTCTTGAAGAGGTTGGTAACGGGATTCTTAAAGATAATCATCTGGAGCTGTCAGCATTGCAATTGTCTAGATTTACATGAGGGTTTGTGCATGGAGGAGTTTCTGGAAAAAAATTAGGAGTGTTTATCATGACCACCTTGATTACTTGGTGATTGAGATGGCAAGTAGGTTTGTATGAACAATATAGGTTAATACTTCACTGCAATAAATTGGAGATTGGCGCATAGCTTTGTGTTACAATATTGTTTAGGTCGCCAAGTTTGGTCTCTCATTTGTTCCTTTTCACTGCTTCATGGCATGCTTTTTGTAACGAAATCATCTCTCTCTCTCTCTCATTCATGAAGGAAAATAGAGAAAAGAGGCGAAAACAGTTTAATAAAAGGGTGTGGTTTCTATAAGGTTGCAACCTTAGACAATCCAATTAAGGTGCACCTCCAAATTTTATCATAACATGCAATTTTGACCTAAAAATTTCTTAGGACTCTGAAAATCTATTTTCGTATCTAATTATAAAATTTTAAAATCCAAAAAATGGTTAAAATCAAGTAGATCTATAAACATATGAAAATCTAAAAAATGGACGGTCTAGATAATGGGCTGTGTGATGCACTATTTCTGGGACTCAAAATCATTTTTTTCTCATATTTCTACATATCGACATCAATTAGAGGAGTTATCAATATTAAAATAACATTTTTCCATGGATTTTTTAGTTGCATTTGTAATTCTACATTTTAAGGTTGCAACCTAATGTAAACTATTTCCAATATTAAATAGGCCAAATTTGGATGGATAAAGCTTTCCTTGTACAAAAAAGACACTCTAAAATCTTGGATAGTGCTTGTTGCTATCATTCACATCATGTTTTTACTGTTTACGCCTTATAAGTGTTAGAAACCTGCCAATGAAAAAATGACCAAAACTACTCCTTAAACTATCACCACAAGTTAAAATATTATAAAAATATCGCATTAGTTTTCTTTACCAAAAAAAATTTGTCATGGTACTTTTACCCTTAATAAAACAAGTAATAAATATTTTAACCACTTTTCTGAACATCTCTCAAAATCTTAAAAAATATAAAAATAAACTTAAAATTTTTTTAAAAAAATAAAAATTAAAACCCCTAGATTTTTTTAAAAATATATCCTTAAAATTTAATAAGAAAAATAGAAAAATAAGAAGCATATTGTATTGCATTATTTTCCCTTAGTTGGAGAAAACTCATAAACTCAGATGAATTTTGCATTAGTCTTGCATCCTTCTTAAATTTGAATGTTGAAAACATGATCGTAGGACTTGTGCGTTATTGGACTAATCAAAACACAATTATTGTGCAGTGAAAGTAAGCCTTTACAATTAATTGATATATCCATAATTACCTTTGAGAACCCCTTAAGGAAATGGCAATTATATGTCGTGGAATAACCGTGATATGTAAACTCCGTCTAATCACATTAATTAGGTAAATTGCATCAATACATATGTTAAACCTTGCTGAAATTACCTTGGTTTAGCCTTAGAACAAACCAGAGGATAATCTTTGAAATGATCATCTCCAACCCGTAATTCACTAACCAAATCAACAATTTCTTCTTCCAAAACTTCTTTATCTTCATCTTGATATGTAAACTCCGTCTAATCACATTAATTAGGTAAATTGCATCAATACATATGTTAAACCTTGCTGAAATTACCTTGGTTTAGCCTTAGAACAAACCAGAGGATAATCTTTGAAATGATCATCTCCAACCCGTAATTCACTAACCAAATCAACAATTTCTTCTTCCAAAACTTCTTTATCTTCATCTTGACTATTATAAACCTTCTTTATTTTCACCCGGTTCTTGATTAAAAATTGGTTTACTACCTTCTTCATATGAATACTCGTCAAAGTCCGCTAGGGAGTTCAAATCAACGATTTGGTGATTTTGGAAGCAAATTGGTGAGAAACTCTTAGGGGTTAACCAATATGCCTTGTTTACTAATCAGGTGTAAACATATTATGCCTTATTAACAAAGCCTTCCCATGGTAAGTAAATATAACTTTTGGCTCTTCTACCCCATGTTCCTCATTATAAGCGAGTTCTCCAACAAAAGATGGCTTGTTGTCCTCTTGAAGGAATTCCTTTGTAAGGTTTACAAATTTTTAATCCAAGCATTGAGAGCTCAGACCCCCAAACAGTTTAGCACTTGATGACGCTACTATTAGAACTGGCCCCAATACCCACTATATGTTGTTGTTTGGACGGATCAGCAAGTGGTAACAATTTGCCAACCACCTTTTCCCTTAAATTCGCTCCCACGACTCGGGTTGTGTCGCACCTTGATGATGGACGTCTATGTTGAGTTCCAACCTTCATTACTAGGTTGTAAACCTCATCTAATGTCCAATAACACCTCAAGGCTTTTAGAACATCTACATAGTGAGCTAGGGTTTGTTCTTCGTTTTCAAACACATCACTACGGATAGTCAAGAGGTGAAACTCATATGTGCATTCATCTACCAACCTATCGCCTTGGCATAACACATGCATCTTTTAGTATAAAGAATATAGATAATTTTTCGAGATATATTTTTCTTCACCCTCTCGCTTGACACAATTTTAGGTTTTTCCCATTCTTTCTCGCCTTGCTCTTGGCTGTTCCCACCATAATGAAGCGTTTTCCTTCAATGTGATGACAATAATTTTAAGCTTTTTATTCCATATCCTTGTAATCAAAGACCCTCTTTATTGTGTTTAACCAGTCTATAAAGTCGTTGGGCTGTGACTTTCCTTAAAAATCAATAATATCTGCTTTTATATCTATAGATTTTGAGTGCCACCTATATCGCATATCATATTCCTCTTCATGCGACTCATCTTGCTATGCACGGTCGTGAAAAGGTTGTATTGAACATCGTCTTGGACTGACATAATTTAATCTCGCCTGCAATCAATGCATGCAAGCTACATTGTATGTTCTTGAACTTGTCATTTTAGATCCTCTATCTGCTGATCCCTCTCATTACGAGGTGGATTCATATGAATATCCTTTTCTCGACCTCTTATTGCTGCTATAGGTTCATCGAAATCACAAACCCTAAACAAAATATCAACAAAGGCTAATTGAAACTACCAAGTTCTAGGCTAATTAGGGAAAATCTTAGCCTAAAATCAACAAAATCTAGACTTGGATGTAGATTCCTAGCTTTGTTGTTGAAGAAAATCTAGGCGTTGATACCAATTTGATACAAGAAATTTGAAAAAAGAAATTAAAAAATAGTTCAATAAACTATCAATACATGTTACATTTGAGTCGATCTACGTCCTTGCACAAAAAAGAGACCCCAAAATTGTAGATAGGGCTTGTCATTACTATTTACAATCTAGTTTGACTGTTCGCACCCCAAAAGTGTTGGAAACCTACACCACCCATGTTGTCACGCCCCAAGAATTTACAATACTGATGTTCCTGAGATGTGACAGTCTAAACAGATATACATCTCAGGAATATCAGTATTGTAAATTCTTGGAGCGTGACACATGCCCTATTACAATAAAACAAAAAGATCAAAACTATCCCTACTTAAATTAAACATTATAAAAATATCCAATATCTCCCTTCATTTAAGAGAAAATTTATAATGATACCTTTACCCCTAATAAAACAAATAATTGTATAAGTAATCTAACCACTTTCTAAATACCTCCTAAAATCCTTAAAAATATAAAAAAAAGGGTGTGGTTTCAATAACATTGCAACCTTAAACAATCCAATTAAGGCGCACTTCCAAATTTTATCATAACATATAATTTTGGTCTAAAAAATTCTTAGGATTATCTTAAAATCTCTTTTTACATTAAAACAACATTTGTTAGAGGGCTTTTTACATTAAAACAACATTTTCCGATGGATTTTTGAGGTGCATCTACAATTCTACATTTTAAGGTTGCAACCTTATATAAACTTTTTCTTAAAAAAATTCCTATAATCCCTAAAAAAAACTTAGAACCCAAAAAAAATAACCCTAGAAAATTCTAAAAATACTACCTTAAAATTTAATAAGAAAAATTAAAAAATAAGACAGATCCTCTCTTTCTCAGCCAGTTTCTTGTATCCAATTCATCTATCACTCCTCTCATGGTATGTTTCTTGGATCTAAATCTTCTTTGCAAAATTTGTCATTTTCTCTAAAAAAAAAAAAAAAGTCAAGACTACATAGTTGATAAATGCTATTCTTACGTTCTGCTGCCCGTGGCTAATCTCTACCATCCGACCATCCAACCCACGTTGGTTTTGGGATGTTCCCTTAGGGGTACAAGATGCCGTTTCCTTTTGGGTGTGGTTTATGCAACCTTAAACAATCCAATTATAGAACACCGCCAAATTTTATTATAATATGTAATTTTGATGTAAAACATTCTTAGGAATATCTGAAAATATGTTTTTATATCTAATTATAAAATTTTAAATTAAAAAAACAGCTAAAATCAAGTAGATCTATAAATATAAGAAAATTTTGAAGATGGACGGTCTAGATATTGTGTTGCATGATGCACTATTTCTGAGACTCAAAATCTTTTTTTTTTGTATATTCATATATCTCGAGATGATCAATTAGAGGGGTTTTCAACATTAAAACAACATTTTTCCGATGGATTTTGAGAAAGTTGCAACTTTATATAAACTTTTTGCTTTTCTTTTAACATTAGTGAGAAAAACTATAAAGAATTTTGACATGTGCATAGTACGTTGGGAAGGAAAATATAATATTTACATGTATTAATACTGGGAAAAATCTTATATAAGGTTCTAACTTTCCTTATAGAAGTAAAGTTGCAATATACCATCCATTTTAACTAGGTGGAGTAGGTTTGACAAGTTTTTTAAGTAGTGTTAAAAAAGGCAAATCTTTTTTTTTTTTGGTAATTTAGTGAGGATGACATGCCCCTACTCTTTTTTTTAATTAGCTAACGATTTTGAAGTTGTCAGTGAGAATGAAAATCACAACATGCAACTGAAGTTAGGGTAAGCAATCACCACGATCTCAGCCCTTTTCCCATATGGCACATTTTTTAAGATAGGTTAAATTTATATAATCTTAATAAAATGGACATTGTGGATTATAACAATTTTACTTCTATGAGTAAGATTGTAACTTTATATAAATTGTTTCCTTAATATTAAGGACCCCCGTCTATTGATGGAGAGAATGTTAGAACGTACAATGCTAACAGATTTCGTGTTCCCACTAGAGTTTATATACTCATGTAAATCCCAATGTGG